GTATGTATGTATGTATGTATGTATATATTAATCGGACATATTTATTGGACTGATGGACTTTTATTTTTTATGGCAGTTTTATGTTTTAAGGTTAGGCTTTATTGCTGTTTAAGTTGCTCCGCTAAATATCTCCTTAATTAGTATAATTATTATAATTATAACTATAATTACTATTATAATTATAATTAATATTGATTAATTAATCGATTACGATTTAAAATTAAATATTTTTGGCTTAAAAGTTTGTATTAACGTTGAAAATCATCAACAGCTTGAAAGAGTTATAATTATTACAAAATAATATATCGTAATTTATTTTAATGAGGCTTTAATATGATTAAATAATTATTTAATCGCCAAAAACGTGTGTAAAATTTCGCGAGAAAAATCTTTCAGGTAAGTGACGTACATACATACATACATACATACATACATACATACATACATACATACCTACATACCTACATACATACATACATACATACATACATACATACATACATACATACATACATACATACATACATACATACATACATACATACATATAATTGTATAGCCTTTGCATGACTTTCTAAGGAACAATAGAAGCACATGCACACATACATACAGATTTCTCGTCCAAAGCTTTTTTTGTTGATGAGGGTGATGATGACGACTACGATGATTGTGATGGTGGTTGTGATGATAACGATGCTGAGTGCTGGTTGCGGTAACGATCCTGAGAGTAATGATAATAATACTGATGATACTGATGATGATGACGATTGTAAGTTATGATTATGATGCCATATTTTTTTCACTTTTTCAGATCTGTACGTAAAAGGTGATATTCCTTCGTGTGAACCGTAACGAAATAGAACTCGCCATTCGATTCATCTTCAACAACAACAACAGCAGCCATGATGATTAAAGCCCCAGCTAACGCGGGCATCTACTTCAACAACAACAGCAACATCGTTGCCAACAACAACAACAGCGATGACGACCTTTTAAAATCAACAACAACTTCGAAGAACATCCTTAACTACGAAAAACTTCTACTAGAGTCACATCGTCAGCAGTTCAGCAGCGCAGTCCAACATGATAACAATCTCTTCGAGATGAATTCGCCATATTACAAGCATCATTATCAGCATCAATTGCAACAACAACAACAACAACAACATCATTACCATCAACAACATCAGCAACATTTGGAGGCCATCCGATTTGTGCAGCATCAACAACAGCAACAACAAAATCATGAAAAATTTCAAACTCCAAACATTCAGAGTAACAACAGCATCAATATCCGCAACAATAACAACAACATGGATTTTTCACTTCCGGTAGTTAGAATGACGTCACCGCCTTTGTCCCCGGAGAGCTTTGAAGTTCATCCGTACTCCCACAAGCCATATATCCCATTTCCCAACATTCCCGAAAATGAGTTCTTCACTAATCCTGTCAAAACTCAAAATCTGAGTCAGCCTGGTTATAAACTGTTTAACAATAACAACAACATCAACCACAACAACATCAACAACAACATCAACAACAACAACATCAACAACAACAACAACATCAACATCAACAATGCTCTGATGACAACAACAACCACAACAACAACGTTAACAACGACTCCGCCATCGCTCGAGGCGAACCAACGCAATGAAGATAACGATGGTGACGCTGGAGATGGTGAAGAGGAGGTGGAGAAAAATATAAATGGTGGTGATGACTTTCGAGAAAGTTCTAGTGCTAAAAATTCCAGCAAAAGGGTACTAACGATCAATATATCGCCAAGTTTTAATGATTTTTGTAATCAAAATAAACGACAACAACAACAACATCATCAACAACAACATCAACAACAACATCAACAACAACATCAACATCAACATCAACAGCAACATCAACAGCAACATCAACAGCAACAACAACCTCTAATTTGCAACGATAGTCGAAAATGCTCGCCATCAACATCATCGTCAACATCACCGCCATTTAGTCAGCACGGCAAACAATTCCAACTCCCATTCCGTCATCAATCCTATCCGCCTCATCATCCTCTTCCTCATCATCCTCATCACTCCCAGCAACAACAACAACACAACAGCATCCATCCGATAAATCTTCACACTGGTATCAATTCCCCGGCAACAACTTCAGCAACAAAATTTTCGCCACCTTCAACATCAGCAACAATGCCAATCACGTTGAGCAACGACCTCTTTCTTAACGTCAACAACAACAACAACATTGTTAGCAACAACAACATTGTCAACAACAACAACATTGTTAGCAGCAACAACAACATCACCAACAACAACATCACAAACATCAACCCAAACCACAATTTCTTTGCCAAGGAACCAAACCCCTACCTCCAACATCCGCAACATCATCCCACTCCCAACTTCTACCCAAATTTTCCGACTTTTCCGGGATCAAATTTTCACGGAAACCTCAGTGATCCTGGATTACTCCATCACGGCAATATTAATGGCAATGCTGGAAGCAGCGGGCTGTTGCATGGTAGTATGAGTAGTATCGGAGGCTGTTTAAACCCTGGCAGTGCCAATGGTGGTCTAAGTAATCCCAACGTCCCAATCTATCCATGGATGCGATCCTTTGTTGGACCAGGTTAGTTTTTTTTTATATTAAGTTGTGACATGATTAATCGATCGGTTGTGATGACCTGATTAAATGGCTATGACCTAATTAAATGGCTATGACCTAATTAAATGGCTATGACCTAATTAAATGGCTATGACCTAATTAAATGGCTATGACCTAATTAAATGGCTATGACCTAATTAAATGGCTATGACCTAATTAAATGGCTATGACCTAATTAGATAATAATTGACTGATTAATTGGGATCGAGGCATTTAAAGTTTCTTGTTAATAAACATTCAAGGATGGCTTGCGTGTAATCGTAAGTCATTTTAATCAACAAAATTTTTTTTTTTTCTTTCGTACTACAAATAACATGCAACACTCACAAACGCCAAACTCCTAAAGAATTGTTCTTCAGAATTTCTTGCACTGAGAAACGCTCTGACGTTCATGCTGTACGACGACATTCGTATACACAATTGTACACGCAATTGTGTATACGCAACTCACGCACACAACGTACACAATTGTAAACATACCACCTACATACTCACGCAAAAGTGTAAGTATTGTTTCAAAAGTAAGTCCGCATCGCAAGTCCCACCAGACGCTTCGGACTGTTTGAGCTCTTCAGAGAATGCATTTGAAACCGGCCGACGTGCATTGATTTACACCAAACTCTGCGCTACATGGAACTGAACAAACTTATTGACACACTTTTGTCATAGACAAACTCGCGGTTTAATGTATGTCGGATATTACAATTCGAAAAATTTATTGATCAACGTTTAGACGAACAAACACACATACGAACACAAACACGAACACACACATAAACACACATATGAACATACACACATTCACACACACACACAGACGCAAACACTCACAAACAAACATTCGCATGCACGCAGATTTTGGATTCGACCAGAAGCGAACCCGCCAGACGTACACTCGTTACCAAACTCTGGAGCTGGAGAAGGAATTCTACTCTAATCGGTATCTGACTCGTCGCAGGCGGATAGAAATTGCCCATTCCTTGGCCCTGAGCGAACGACAGATCAAAATATGGTTTCAGAACCGTCGCATGAAGTGGAAGAAGGAGAACAACGTGCAGAAGTTGACCGGACCGGGAGGAGTCGGAGATATTCCGCCGGTTTCGAGTCAGAACCGGAAGGGCGTTCTATCGTCTGATGATGGAGACGATGAGGAAGAGGATGAAGATGATGATGGGAATGCTAATACGAGTGGCGGGCCTGGTCTTTAAGGGTGTGATTGAATGAGTGAGTGGATGAGCGAATGAATGAATGAACCTTTGAATCAAAGCGTGAATGAATGACGAATTGATAGATGGTTTGAAATTGACGAGTAAAAGAGAACAAAACTTATATATATACTTCAAACTTTCTTTTTAAATTTTTTAACAACATCATCATCATCATCATTCCATTATCACCACCCACCATCTTTCTATCAACATCACTCCAACATCATAATCATCACAACCACCACTTCATATTTTCAACACAGTGTATTATTTATTCTCTATAAGATCTTCCTATGTAAAACACGGTGACAAACGTTTAATGTTTCTCTATTCAAGTGTCATTCTATATGTGTGTCTTATTAAATACATATGCGTATATATATATATATATATATATATATATATATATATATATATATATATATATATACATTTATATTTATATGTTGTCCCATAAATATATATATACAGTATTGTTTGAATTCTACCAAATTGTTGGAATAAATCAATTTAAGGTTTGTCTTTTCAATATTCCTTACTAGACTTTTCTGGAAAATGTTCAATTTATTGTAAATAGAATTATCATCCTTATATTGTATTGTCATTATAGATAAAAAATATGACACCAAATAAGTAACTCACTTTGCTAAAGAACTGGCTGTGATTTGTTTAATCAAACCTGCTCAAAAGATGATTTTTGAAAAATCGAAATAAGGCCTATCTGCATGAGGAATTCGGATAACAACAGTTTCATTAAATTTTTATGATCAACTTGGATAAGAATTCTATTTACAATAAATTTAACAATTTCCAAAAAATTCTAGCCAGAAAAATGGAAAAGACAAAGTTTGAATCGATTAATGCCAAAATTTCGGTAGAATTCATAGAATACTGTATAAAATATGGTCTCTTCCCTATATATATATATATATATATATCTTTTTTGGTTATCTATATATATGTATATATATAGTGTATTAATTTATTGACAAATTGTAACATTCTGGTATATATAAATGTGTTTATATTTTGAATTTATTAATTTGAAAAAAGATTTTGAACAAATTTTCTGTGTTAGTTTGTTTTATGAAAGAATCGTTGACAAATAAAAGTCGATTAAATATAAAAAAAATTCTTTGGCGTCTTAAATTTATAAAAATAATTGAAAAAGAGTGTATGTGCATTCGTATACATATGTGAACATAGGTATGTACGTGCATAAAAAGCCTACACACAAACATACATACATACATACATACATACACAGTACATACATACATACATACAGAACACAACACATATATACATACATACACAACACATACTTATATACATTGACAACACATACATACAAACATATAAACATACATATACACTGACAAACGTTCATAAACAACAACATTCAATACATCATATATGATACAACAGATATATACAATCATATCCATTTCAAAATGTACAAAATATACGGACATATACACCTACGTATGTATATTTCAATTTGCCACCAAATAACTTAATTAGTTATAATAAATTTTACCCACTTTTTAATTTTTGGGCTCATTCTCATTTTCATTCTCTCTCTCTCTCTCTTTTCTCACATCTTTCTCTCAATCTTTTCCTGCCTCCTTTACTCCTCTCTTTTTTTATGTTTTTTTCCGTCTTTTTTTCGTTCCCTTTCTCTTTCACTCTCTATCTAAACATCTTTTTATCACACTCTCTCCCTCTTCCTTTCCCTCTCTCTTTTCTTCTCTCTCTCTCTCTCTCTCTATATATATATATATATATATATAACATTTGTGATATATTATTTTATAATAAATTATTTATGAGACATACTATATATACTCATGCACACACTCATACAGACACACACATATACATACATACACACACATACATACACACATACATACATCTTTCCTGTTTTTAACATACATACATACATACATACACACACACACACACACACACACACACACACACACACACACACATACATACATACACACACATACATACATACATACACACACACATACATACATACGTACACACACATACATACATACGTACATACACACACGCACATACATACATACACACATACACATACATACGTACATAGTACATACATACATACACATACATGCAGAACGATACATACTCGCATTTGAATGTATGCTAAATGCTACAAAATAGCATATAAATAGTGATGCCTTTGATGTTTAGATTATTGAAAAATGAAGAATGGAAAGGCAGCAGTTTAAAATAATTTTATTAAAAGTATAATAAATAATAAATCAAAATTTTACAAAGTTTTATCGTTATTATTAATTATTATTATTGATAATTTTATTTATGATTATATTAATTTCGTATTAATAATAATAATTAAAGGAAAAGATTTTTTTAAGAAAATGAATTAAAATCTTACTTGCTAACTCAAACAATGCTACAAGCATAATTACATATAAATCACATAAGAAGGCTATTGTTACTATTACTAACTTGATACTTTAAGTGTTTCAGTAATTATATATAATTAAAATTATACATAATTATAATTATATATATATATAATTTATATAGTTAATGTTACACTAATCACATCTTTAAAGGTACTTAATTGATTTAATTACTTCCATAATTTACGTTGTTCATCTTGTTATTTTAATAAATTGGGATTTAAAAAACCAAAATATTGTAATTCATTAGCGAATTATTATTATTATTTATAGTTTTGATTGTAATAACAAAAATAATAATAACAATAATAATAATAACAATAATAATAATAACAATAATAATAATATTATAGACTTCAGTTATAAAATTTTATTGGAAGTTCGGGGATTTGAGATTACAGAACATTCTCGTCGTCGTCATCATCATCAACATCATCATTATCATCATCATCGTCAACATTAGCATTATCATCACCATCCGCAGCTTACTATCATTATCATCATCATCGTCAATATCGTCATCATCATCATCATCATCACAATAGCATCATCATCACAATAGCATCATCATCATCATCATCACCACCATCATCACCACCATCATCATTATCATCATCATCATCTACTCACATGCATCTGAGCGGTGAAGAAGTAACGTTCACTCCTTTGACATCATCATCATCATCATTATCAACATTATCATCATTATCATCATCATCATCATTATCAACATTATCATCATTATCATCATCATCATCATTATCAACATTATCATCATTATCATCATCATCATCATTATCAACATTATCATCATTATCATCATCATCATCATTATCAACATTATCATCATTATCATCATCATCATCATTATCAACATCATCATCACCACTATCATTTTTTCCACCATCATCATCTTCATCGTCGTCATCGTCGTTGACCTATTTATTACCGGCCAATCAGAAGCCGTCGCTGTTATATGACCTAGATAATGGGGCGACCATATTACTTAATGACACCAAAGAACATCTATTAAACAAGAACTCCGATGACGGCTGTGGTAGATGTGATTACCACAACGGCCGCCGCGATTTTTTGAATAACCACTTCAACAAAAATAACAACAACAACAACATCCACAACAACAACAATAACAACAGCAACAACAATAACAACAACATCTACAACAATAACAGCCTCC